CGTATATTGTATTTTTCATTTTCCTCAATCTACTCAACATATATAATTTCTTGAATATTTTTGAAGTAATTCGGGTAAGTAATTCGGCCTAAAGAAAATAATTTACTAATAATTTATACTTACAGTCCTGCGGTAATAAATCAATTTAAATAAAATAAAGACCTACATAAGTCACTAGAAAACTTTTTTGCAAATACACAGATAGTAAACAACAAGTACACGTGTCGAGTAAAATAACAGATGAATCGTGGTTTAACCAAAAGTTTTAGATTCCACTTATGTAGGTACATGAATAAAAAGTTCCACTTATAGAAGACACGTTCCACTCACAGAGGCAAATGAATGAAAAGTTCCATTATAGAGGGATCGTTCCACTTATAGAGGTAAATTTAAGAAAATGTTCCACTTATAGAGGCCTTATTTCAAAAAATCAGATCTACTTATAGAGGTAACGTTTTTCACTTATAGAGGTTTTTTTCGATATTTTGCATTACTTGTACAGGGACCGCAAAAAAAGTTCCACTTAAAGAGGATTCCCACTTATCCAGGTTCGACTGTATCTACTTTTGTATATCCAGTTTTATCTGTGCATAGAACTCACCAAGTTGAAATCCACAACGTTGATCAACGAAAAAAATTGTCTACTTAGTAAATTAATTAAAAATGCGAAGTAATATTGACACAAAAATATTTAGAAAGAAAAGATTGATGTTTATATTTTGATAATAATTATTTTACAATTTAATATTAAATTAAAAATAATACTTGAAAGTATTAAATAAATTTTTTTCCACAACGTTTGTTGTGGACTTCAACTTCGTTAGAACTCGAAAGTTTTGAAAATTTCAGAGCGCTTACACGGAAAAACCTTTGAGAAGTCTGCCTTCCCACTGTCACAAAATTTCGCTTCTCACTGCATGGAAAGTCTGATCGCCCGCCACTGGGTGCGTAGCATTACCGTTTTCGATAGACAAACTTCCCAAAAAGTTTAGAAAATTACAACTGGGTACGTTGGTCACCCAGTTTGGGAGTGCAGATGAACAAGTTTAGTGGTGGCGCTGACGCATAAGTTTCGGGTGAGCAGACTGCTTAAAGGTTTTTCCGTGTAGTAATTGATATGTAATAATTTAATTTTTATGATTTTCATGGTTTTCAGGTTCTTTAAAAACATCCTGAAGAAGCTAAATAAATTATGCCAGTATCCTGTTTACTGTCGCGTGGGTCCGTATACAAAATTAAAAATAAAAAGTTAGAGAGAGAGAGAAAGAGAATTGTGGCTACTTGTAATTAAAAGCTTTCAACGTTCAGGCAATTTTCCAAGTGGTTTCACTTTGCATAAAAAGCCACGGTCTCAGACATCTTTTATCCTAAAGAAAACTAACCGCACTTTTAACAATTTCAGTTTAATTACAGTAATAATTAGCAATTTTATTTTTACAGACTTAAGAGAAATTTTTATAATCTATATTTCTCATTCTACAATTCTCCTTATCTAGAAGTTCAAAACAATTTTAAATTGCCGAAAACAGAGAAGCAAATTAATAATTTTCAGAACTGTAATATCAGTAAAGAAAATTTCAAGTCTAAAACAATTCAAAAAAAGTTGTTTTTAGAAAAAAATATACACTCTTCTCACAGCGATAGGCAGAAAGATACTCTTTGAAATTCATCCAAAGTAAAACAACAAATATGTTTCTAGAAAAAAGTAGAGAGAGAGAGAGAGAGAGAGAGAGAGAGAGAGAGGAATTTTTCGAATAAATATTTCACGTTCCACTCACTCCTGCCTTATACTAAATGATAATTACAATTTTTTACTCTGTTCAAGATAAAAATCCTCCAACTTGGCATGTGTACTTAAATGACTTTCGAAAAATGTGCGCGGAAGTTTCCCTTCTTACTGTCGCTCGTTGTATCGCGACTTTCAAAGGAAAAGTAGAAATGATGAAATTAATAAGTTCAGGAGAAAATAGCCCTCTTTTTTAAATTGAAAAATAAGGTACTTGTTACACTATTTGGACTTGCAAATATGCCAAAGGAGTCTTGAGAGAATACATATTGTTCCTTCAGAGAAAGATTTATATTTTTGATCGTAATCATTGTGCTTTGAACAAACCGTATTTTATTGTATGAATAGTGGTGACCATTTAAGTGTAAACGTACTACGCTCTTCCGGCTTTCCACCTGCCTAAGAAAGTTAGTCTTTCTCTAACATACAGTCATATTCACACACCAGGTGTACTTGTACCAAATATAGTAACACAGTTAACTATTTTTCAAATTTATTAATTAAATTCAATTTTCATTCTTTATAAATAGTATTTTACTTTATAATTTTGATCTATTTACTGTAATTAAATTGGTATATATTTTTACACAAAAAATAAAATAAAATAAGTTTTACTACATTTTCATAGTAAATCTTAACTGCCTGCAACTTTTGAGCATTTCTTGACAATTTGACTACATCCAAGCCACCATTTTACAGTACAGTAACCAAATTTCACTATATCGAAAGTAAATTATAGTAAAATTAGTTTTCATTATTTTTCAATAAAATTACAGTAGAATTAGTAAATTTTGTCAAGACTATTTTTGAAGTAAATTCTTGTAAAATATTAAGTTTTTATATCTGGAATAACTTTTAGAAAAATTAATTTTATTAATAAGACAGAACAACGAAGACATTCAGACAAAGATTCTTTTAATGTTACTCCAACGTTTCGAAATCCACAAATTTTCTCTTCAGGGAGTCTAATATATGTACATCAAAAACCAATTAAAATAAAAAAAAATGTGAAGATAGTTCACAATAAGAAATAAAATAATCGAAATATTGTACAAAAATACGTAAAATAAAATAAAACAATGGAAATATTGTACAAAAAAAAGTAAAATAAAACATAAAATAATAAATAATAAGATAAAGAAATCGAAATATTATACAATAGAAAGCAAAAAACGAAAATGAAAATAAAAATAACAATTATCGCAAAATGAAAACAGAACGTAAAACAAAAATAGGATATAAGTACAAAAATTACAATCTTACCAATTTAGCAACAGTCAGAACTTAAATTTGTCATAAATAAATAAAAATTCGTCATTATTATATAATTAAAATTTCGAAACGTTGGAGTAACATTAAAGGAATCTTTGTTTGAATGTCTTCGTGTTTCTGTCTGATTATTAAAACCACTCTGACGTTAAAGAATTTAATATAATTAATTGTATTAATTTTGAAATGAATTTGAGTAAAATTAATATATTTGACTATTTATGAAGTATGATTTAGTACCAAATTAAAAAAAGTACCAAGTTTACTTTTTCTTTAACAAATTTTAGTCAAATCAGTAAAAATTAAAGTGAATGTAGTAAAATTTACTCCGGAAATAATTTTAATTATTCTCCAACTTGAAAAAATCAGTCATACTCTCTAAATCTGAATCAGTGGAATTATTACTGATTAAATCAGTCGTATGTATTTTCATTGATAAATCAGTGGTTTCAACAAATTCATTGAAAAAATCAGTCAGAGATCAGAAAAAAGTTTTGACTGAAGTGAATCAGTAAGATGAAACTACTGATTCAATAAATTAATTTTTTTACTGAATAATTCAGTTGAAATAAAAAATGAGCGTATTTAAACACGTTAAAAAAGAGAAGTGAGATACAAAGTATTTACAATGTTTTTAAATAATATGTTTGGGCAGTAATTTGTTGCTTTCTCAAAGTGCAGACACTTGAAAAGAAAAGAGTGTGAAAAGAGTGTGTATATTTATAGTGCCTGGAAAAGTTATATTAAAAATATGTAAAAAAATAGTGTACGTGTCAAAATTTTCAGCTGATTTATTAAAGAACACAATTATGTCATTTCAAGAAATAAATGCCAAAAGCTAAAGGTAAGATATGCATTTATTTATATGTATAATTAGATAACTTGGTCACTTTCTTGTTTGTAAATCAATATTCCTTTGAAGTAATAATTAATAAACTAAAAATATTTATAATTTTCGAACAACATAACCTTACTTTTTAAAGAATATTTCACTTGATGTTGTTTGCAACAAGCATTCATTATTAGGACCCGCAGTATCAACAATCCTGCTCAAAATATTCCAAATACTATTTTAGCTAAAAATAAAAATTGTAAACAAATTTATAGGTATAAATTATATTATTTATTGCAGGGTAAAATGATCAGTGGAATGGAAACAGCCATGTAAAATTGCTAAAAATTTCTAAAGTGAAATGACTTCATCAGTACTTTTCTGAATCCGAGCACTTTATGTCACACAATAAATGATTTTAAAGAAATTTATGCCACAAAGTCATTAAGCTACTACAGGGATAAAAATTACGAAAATGGTTGATTTAATGTAATATTTAAATAATTTTCATCATTTTCTTTAACTAAATATTATTTATTATTGTTTTATAAACAATAGTTATTAATTTGAAAAACGCGCGCTTGCGAAAAGTTTTCGTCTGCTTTGAGTACGGAAAGTGGAGACCTCTATTTCAGCGAAATTTCCGGTCCCAAAATATTTTGCAGTCATTATTTACATCGGGTGACAAGCAATAAGCCCTATCCGTCTCACACAATTTGTTTGGAAAATATATGACCACCACTTGAGTAGTGATAGCATTTACCGCCAGTTGGCGTTGCTGCGCATCGGCCTTAGTTTATCACAGTATTGTATACAAAAATTATTAATTTATTTATTTTTTAAAATTGTTTGATATTTTTAATGGCCAATATTAGTGTTAAAGGTACAAAATTTTTATTTTAGTTTTGGTTTATTATTTTTTAGTAGATTTATTTGGATTCATTTTTATTCAAGTGTGTGACGAACCGACTTCGTCACATTTATACCTATGGGTAAATAAAAAACAATTAAACTGAAACAACACAAACATTATAACATTATCATTAATATTAAGGGAAAATAAATTAGATATAATATTAGGAATGTTACACATCTCTCAATAATAACGTGGCCTTTCGTTTATACATTTCACATAATTAAAGTCATTGACTTTTTGGATTGTGTTTCACAATATCTAAGAGCCGTGTGCACCGTCAAAATGCAATCATGCAAAAATGCACCGGTTGATGACCGGGTGTTACTAAGTAAAATGACGATTTCCTCATACGATCTTCGGTGTACGAAATCGATCGTAAAGTGGAAATCGGGGAGTTGGCTAAAGACCTTCCTGAAGGAAGGTTGTGTGGAGTGTCTTTGTAAAGTTTTGAGACCTGAAATAAATAGGTCGTTTGTAAAGCTTAGAAAGTAGAATTTGACAAATATAAGTAGAAAAAAAGGTGTTAACAATCCAAGAATCATTTATGTGAAAAGGAAATACGCAACGCCCAGATTTCTTGAGAGAGAGTGAACAATGATAAAATAGATAATCAAAAAATAAGTGAGTAAAATTGATTCTTATCTTACACATACACCACACGATACACATGTAAAAATAAAGTCAAAGTTGCTAAAAAGGGAAAAGATTAAGTCAATAATAATTGTAGAAAGCAAACCAAGTTGTATAAGGCTTATATACATGTTATAATTTTGAAGTTATAGAATATATAAATTTATTAGTAAAGGTCAAATCACATTTGTAAATTCATTTATACCCCTCACAGCACCGGGATATTCAGGATATCCCAGAGACGTCCTGGGGATATCGATTTGTTTTCGGAAGTTTGGATATCCCTGGATTATCCTCTGGATATCCATGGACGTCCCTAGGATATCCCAGAGATATCCAAACTTCCGAAAACAAATCGATATCCCCAGGACGTCTCTGGGATATCCTGAATATCCCGGTGCTGTGAGGGACCTAAATATTATCTCCTAAAACAAAGGTAAGAACACACTACTCCGGGAATAGGGATTCTCACCCCACAAGTTGAACGAATAACTTGTAAGGAGGGGGATCCGTTACCAAACGGTTTTAAGGGTTTCGATTTTCTTTCGTGTAACATTCCTTTATTTCCAAATTATTGTTTAAATTAAATTATCCATTTAATTTATTTATTACAAAGTGTTTTTACAAACAATTAAATTATATCTCAATATAAGTGTGACAAGTGTCATTGTCCCATATAGTTCATATTGTATGTGTATTTTAGGTTATATGCAAAATAAAATGAGTAAAATACTAAATAGACAGTGAATCTTTGTGCAAATTGTTGAAAAAATCATATACCGCGTATTTAAAATTTTAAAGTGCATATATATTTATTTATTTGAATAATGTGTTGAAATTAGTTCAAGTGTGTAGTAAACATAATTGCCAGGAATACATATTTTAATATTAATTCATTTATATATATGTAAATTGTTGTTTTAAAATAATTAAATAATATAAATTTATATTATAATTACGTAAAGAATTTTCTTAAATTAAAGATAATGACTTTTTTTACAAAATATTTGAATTAATAATTATAAATAATAAGCAGCCTGTCACAGAAAGATATAAGATATATCACACTGACAGGGATTATTACATGATTCTAACAATTTTTAATAAAGAGAAATTTACTTTTATTTTTCAGTTACTTTTATCAATTTTATTACAGTTATTCATTAAAATTTGTTCTTAAAATATTTTCAGTCAAATACAGTATAATGTGATATTTTTCTAGGCTTACAGTTAAAATTTGAAAATATTGAGTCTGAACCTTTTACAACATTTATGCTTTATTTTTAGGTAAATTTAATTTCAAATCGTGTTTTAGTTTACTATTATAAAAGTATTTTTGAAAAAAAATGACTAGTATTTGTTTAATTAATTTATAATAATTATAAATTAATTAGTACAGCTATAACTAATATGCGTTTTATTACTTTTGTTTATCTTTTCGAAATGTCATTAATTTTATTTTATAGTCTGTTAAATTCTTATTATATTATTTAATTATTGTATTATTAAATTAATAGTGTAAAATTACCATTTTTTGTATCAAAATCTTTTTATTTAAATAATTTTCTTGTATGTTTATTAATAATATCAACAAAAAGGACAGGCCGAAGCGCAGCGGCGCAGTCTGGTGGTAGAAGTTAGTACTACTCAAGTAGTGGTTATATATTTACCGAGACGTCCTATAGAAAATTGAGAGTAATTTCGCTACATCAAAGTGGGTATTATTATTGCCTACATTAAAAGTATTAAATTTACCGAGGATTTGACAATTGCCATATTTAATATGGCAAAATTACAAGATTTCGTATTTTTCAGTTTAGATTCTGTATTTTTGCCGCATTAAATAAAGTCTTTTTGCGAAGGATTTTGTAAAATAAAATTACCAACTTACTCACTTACTCACTCTTAAAAAAATGTAATATTAATTCCAGTGAGGTATGACTAAAAATATAAAAGATAAGGACACAGAGGAACTGCTCAATGATTTAAGGATAATGGGATTTGACGAGGAGACATTGTCAAAATTAAGAGGTACGTTTTTCAATATAGTACATAATTAAATTTGATATATGTGACCTGGACAGTGAAAAAGGACCTTACGTGCGAAAACAAGTTTTCGAAAAAACAGCAGTTAAAGTTTAACTTAGAAAAACCCTTGTAAGTTTTTTAAATATTAATACTTTTCAATCAATTTAGGCTTATTTTCTTCACCGTGGATCACAGTATCAAAATAAAAAACATACAAGTAATGAAAATTTTTTTAAATAATTGTTTATATAAATTAATAATAAACTCCCCAAACATAAGAAAAATAATCAAAAAGTTTTCTAAATAGCAACAATAAGTATAAATAATTGACACATGTTTGTAAGGGTTTTCGAGGCCACTAATTACGATTATGATGTTAAATTGACAATTTGACAGTTGACAGCTGTAAACTTTTCTAAAAAGTGGTCGTTTTTATAAAAAAGACAGTAATAAGGATTTTGAGGTCGTTGGTTACGAATATGATATCAAATTTGAATTTTAACTCTTGACAGTAGTCAAAAAAACTGTCAACTTTTCAAAATAATAAAAAATTATCGTCTTCGTTATTTTAATTTTAAAAAATTCATTTGTTTCGTATTTTTACTATTGTTTCTTTTGACTTTAAAAAAAATTTTTTAACACTTCTAATCAACTTATGACTTTTTGGTTTTCACCATCTTAAAGAGCGTTTCAAACTCTATCCGAATCAACAAAAAAGTAAAAAATGATTTTTTGACACGTAAGGTCCCTTTTCATAGACCAGGTCACATATGATAAAAAATTCTAAATTATCAATCAGTCCAAGATAATTTATATTTTTTTAACAGTACAATGTTTTCCGTTTGATAAATTTGTATTATATAAAGTTTACTCTATTTTCTTGTAATTAGATTTCTAATCGCTGTTGGAATATGGACAGAATTAAATGTTTTGAGTGCCCAGCTTACGTACGAGGGTTTAATGGTTATGTTTACCATTTACAATATAAACACGGATACACAATTAATAGAGGGGGTGGACAACTTGGTTTTCAATGTGCACAAGATGGTTGTAGAAGGAGGTTTGCACTTTTTAATTCTTTGCGCAATCATATCAAAAAGATTCATTTTGAAAGAAATACCGAGGAATTCGTACTAGATGAGAATAATGATGTTCGAATTGATAATGTAGATAATGAGTATAATATTGATAATATTGATAACGTTGATATTGGAATTGGTGAACTAATAGATAATATCAATGAAAATATTGCGGAAAATGTTATTGACGAAGAACAACCTCCATTTAATTTACGTGTTTCCTTGGTTAGGATGTTATCATAAACTCCAATCAAAACCATCAATGACGGGCAGTAATGTAACGAATGTATTGCATGAATTGGAACAAATGTTAACAAATTACACTGAATTTTTTAAGACAAAAGTAGAAAAACTTCTTCAAACAAATAACATTTTGCAAAATCCAGATTGCCAAGAAGTAATGAACAATTTTCAATCCTCGAATTTATCATTCGACGGTTTATGGACTTTAAATGATCAAATAAACTCTCTTAAAATTCATTGTAATTACATTGACGGCATTGAGGTTCCTTTAGGTACAAGAATCGACAACGTTTTAGACACGAACTCAGCAACGACTGTGCCTAAATTAGTACAGGAGACTTTCCAATATGTCCCTTTAATTGAGACTCTGAAATTAGTAATGTCTAATCTAGAAGTGCGAAATGCTGTCCTGTCTGAGAGACCCTCCGACAACAACTTTCTTTCATCATTCATAGATGAAGAACATTTTAAACGACACAGTTTTTTCCAGAAATTTAAGAATGCTTTGCGAATTATTCTTTATTATGATGATCTAGATATTGTAAATCCTCTTGGATCGAAAACGGGACCTTATAAGCTGGGAGTCTTCTACTATATGTATAATAGATAATTTACTTCTGCACATGAGATTCAAGACTGGAAATATTCATGTTGTGTGTTTGTGCTATTCCGAAGACGTGAAAAAGTACGGATATAAAGTAATATTAAGAGAATTTTTACGGGATCTGAGTAAATTAGAGTCTGACGAAGGCGTCACTGTTCAAATAAATAATGAAGATTTTATTCTCCGAGCGTCTCTTGCTGGGTTTTGTGAAGATACCCTAGCCGTTCACGATGTATTTGGACTTTTAAGACCAGCTGCGATCAAGTTTTGCCGAATGTGTATGATTTCCAGAGAAGAACTACATGCAGGAAATGTAACCGAACAAGAAAAAAGGACTGAGGACTCTGAATTCTTCTAAATTTTTTCACATTTCGCGAAACAAAATTTTTGACATTATGCACGATTTGCTTTGTGGAGTCGTACCAATGATATTGAAATTAGTGATAAATCACTATGTCTACGTGGATTGTCTTTTTGACTTGCCATTCTTGAATGAAAAAATTGCATCGTTTCAATATGGATTTGCTGAAAAAAAACAAACCGTCACCCAATTTTACTGATGCCAATACGCGAAATATCAACAATCACAGCCTAAGTCAAAAAGCTATGCAGACTTGGTGCCTGATCCGAGTTTTCCCATTTTTGATATCTGAAAAAGTCCCAAAAGGTGAGAAGCATATGGAGATGATTCTTTTGTTACTTCGAATCATGGAAATCGTTTTTGCCCCAAAGATAAATAAAAGTCTTCTGCCATATTTATCTCATTTGATTAAAGATCTTTTTGAGGTTTTTAAGAAACGTTTCCCTACAATTGATTTTATCAATAAATTCCACCACATGCTACATTATGTGGAATGTATCAAATGGTCGGGCCCATTAATTCTTTACTGGTGCATGAAATTTGAATTGAAGCATGGTCAACTAAAAGAGAGAAGTCATGTTATGCACAACTACCGAAATTGTCCTAAAACACTTCTTCGAGTATGTCAATGCACACAAAGTGCTTATTGGGGTGGTCAGGATATGAAAATAAACAATGTCCTTGCTTATGGAGGTAAAACTGTTCAAGTACAAGATACTTTCAGCAGGCAGGAATTATTGAATTTTGGCTACGTCGACACTGACAACGTATTCTGCACCAAATCAGTCAATGTCAATGGGACTGAATACAGAAATGGGGCTCTAGTTTATGTAGCTGCGACAATTTCAGTCGATGATAATCTTCCACTGTTTGGTGTTATAGAAGAAATTATTATTTTGGAAAAAAATGCAGTTTATTTAAAAGTTTTACTTTACGAAACTTTAAATTTTGATACAGACTTCAACGCCTATTCCATTCAACTTGGAGATTTAAATAGCGCTACGTCATTCACTTTAGTAGCAAATCTTGCACATTATAAACCTTTTTGTATATGGACTGAATCAATTAATTATTTAATTTCTTTGTTTCATTTAGATGAGAAGATAGACGGCGACAGTTTTTTTGATTTGACAGAAAATGATTTGCGGCAAATTTTAAATATACGACTAGGTCCATCAAAAAAATTAATTAAGTTAATAAATGAAATGAATGAAACTGGAAATAATCAGAGAGTCGTTCAAGATAAAATAGACGTGAGTATTTTATAAATTTATGAAAATTATAAACAATTTTAATACGTAAAAAACTAATTAAACTTTGTATAGTTATTTTTATTGACATTTGTAATAAAATTAATATTTTTAATAGCTATCCTTCCAATGACGTTAAGTGGGCCTTGGCAAAAAGTATTGTGAGAGAATTCCCTTGTCTTCGAGATAGTGAGGCTACAGCAGAATGTGTAAGTTTTCAATATAGTGTCTATAATTTATTGATGTAAATTTTTCCTCAACAATTAAACTGTTTCGAAATTCTCGCGAAGAATTTTGTTATAATTTTTGAAAATTCTAATTAAATTCTTTTTGAAGAATTTCTTTGAATATTTTTTTTAAATAATGAGGTTTCTTTAATAATTAAATTGAAAAAAATTTGTTAAATAATTGGATTTTATGAACAATTTCTTTCAAGTTTTTAAAATAATTGTGTTTATTAATAATTGAAATTAAAGATTTTATTATTGAATTTTATTACAAATTTAAAAAATAATAATATATTCTTTTGAAAAATTTTGTAACGAAATAAGAAAAAATTGGATTCTGTCGTTAAATTGTTTTGAATATTATTGAATTTTTGCAAAGAATTTTACTATTCATGAGTATAATTGAATTTTTTCGAAAAATTTATTAAAATTTTAGAATATAATTCAATTCTTTTGAAATTACAAATTAAAAAAATTGAATTCTTTTGTGAAAATTTTTCGAAAATAATTAAATTTTTGCAAAGATTTTACTATTTAAAGAAATTGAATTGTTTCGAATGATTTATTAAAATTTTAGAAAATAATTGTATTCGTTCGTGAAATTTTTTTAAAATTTTGTTTAGAAATAATTGAATTTTTTAAAAAAATTTTACTGTTTATAAAATGAAAATGAAAATAAAAAAAATGAAATATAAAATTATTTCTAAATGAATTCTATCTAAGAATTTTATTAAAATTTTTGAGATTAATAAAAAAGAATAATTAATTAGTAAATTAGTTAATAATTGATTTTTTAAAATTTGAATCTGAAATTATTCAAAAATATATATTAGAAAATTAAAAAAATTGTAATTTGCATTATAATAATAAACTGAATGTCACGTTCCGCGCGTTTTCGTGCGTAACATTGGCTAGTTTTTAATAAATTTTCAATTTTATATACAGGAACAATTTTTTGACAAGACATCTAGAAAAGGATTTATTGAGCACAGGCTGTGGAACGCTCGAAAATCCTTACCTGCGGATCAAAAGAAATATACTACTTTGAAGACAAGAGCTGCAGCTAATAAGAAAAATCCTGAAGTCGACAAGGTTGATTCAAATTTATTAAATAAAGAGGCATTGGAAGAACAAGTATATTTATTAAATTATATTTATTTAATAATTTATTTATACTAGAGGTGTGCATAAATCAAGTCGAATCAAAAATTAATCGACTCGACAACAGAAATTCGAATAGGAGATACCTAATTAGATTCGAACTAGTCAATTCTAAAATCGTAGTTTCGAATTTTGAAATGCAGAACTCCACTCGATCTACTTTTGATTCGAATTGGCCAATTAGACTTTCGAATTGCGCAACTCGACTCGGTTTATTTTCAAATCGAGTCAGCGTATTTTAAAAACGAAGCTATATACTCTATTTGAATTTGGCCTATTCGAATCGAAAGTAGACCGAGTCGAGTTTCGCAATTCTGAAGTCGAAACTTTCACAGAGAAAAGCGAGTGTTGTTTTTGATGCGGGTAAATTTTGGTAGGGTAATTTTAGTGAGGATAAATTTTCTATAATAGAAAATTTACCTTATTTTCGGTGTTAAAATAACACTTCCGAGCTAAAGTTTGATGCAGACACTTTTAACACCGAATTCAGTGTTAAAATGACACTCACTTTTTTCTGTGTTGATTTTTGAATTAACCGATTCGAATCGAAAGCAGACCAAGTCAAATTGATTAATTCGAAACTCGAAACTTCGGATTTCGAATGAACTATTTCGAATCGAATTTTACCTCGATTCGTATTTTCCACACCTCTAATTCATACAGTTAATTGTATAATACGATTTTAAATTTATTTGTTTAAAGATTTCCTGGATGCAACTTACGATGCCTAGAGAAGATAAAAAGAAAGAAATTGAAGAATCTCTTCAACTAACTTTTTTCAACAGACGCAAATGGATAAACGACGACCATCCATCAATTGAAGAAATCGGAAACAAATATCCAAGATTATTATTAACTCTCGCGGCATCACTAATTGTATTCTTTTACTTACGTTATTCTCTCCTAAAATTTTATGACAAAATGGGCTGAAAGTTTGTAGAGATACCTAAACTTGAACAAAGGTAGTTTCTCATATGTGTGTTAGTCGATATTTTGCATTGAAACTGATTTTCAGAAATTTATATTTGCAGAAAGTATATTTCGTAATTTTTTAGAATAAACTTCATCAAATTATCTACTTCAAAAATATGATAAAACCATTATAATACTTTCGACTTCTTTATAAAATTTCAGCTTATTTCATCAAATATTCTACGAGAAAACTGATTTTTTAAAATGAACAAGCGTGATGTAGTAACTCAAAAAAATTAATTTTTGGAAAAAAATATTACAATTGCTTCAAAAATTTACAGTATAAGTTAATTTATTCCATTAAATTTAATAGTTTTTGTTGTAAATTAAAAAAAATGGAAAAAAAATTATTTTTGTTGAAAATGACTAAAATTGTATTATAAGTAATATTCATTATTTCTTTTCAGATTGACAAAGAATATATGAGATGATATCTAATGCCGAAGCAAATTCCAATGCTAAAAACTTTTCAGGAAAGTTCCAATCTTGGTATGCTTCTCGAATTTTGAAGTACACCAACGAAAGAAAGCCAGACATTTTTAACAAAGCAGCGTCACTGATAGAAGATGGTAAGTTATTGTCATTATAGATAATAACAGAGGCACAAACAACTATTTTTACCGAGATACTACACTAGTATATTTCCATGTATTTTTTCTCGCTGAATCCGGATTCGATATCATATTAGCTCCTATTTTCGAGATATACTTAAAAAACGGCTCAAAGACATGAATTAAAATCAAAAAGATAAAAATTTTTTCTTTGACACTGCACTGGTGTATTTCCGTATATAACTCAAAAGGCTGCTAATCAAAGACACATATTGAAGTCGAAAGAAAAACATTTTTTGTCCGAGACACTACACTAGTATTATATATTTCGATGTATTTTTTTCCTCCGAATCTGAATTCGAAGTCAGAATTACTATATTAGCTTAATCTTTAAAAATGAATTCAAAAGTCTGCTTTTTTAAATTTTTATAAAAGTTTGAGGTATTCTAGCAATTTGGACTTCAGATTCAGATTCGGGAGGAAAAAATATATGGAAATACACAATTGTAGTGTCATGGCAAAAAGTTTCATTTTTTGTGCTTTTCAGACGTTTTTTAGTAGGTCTGTGAAGCTGGCCGAACCACTTTCATAAAGATGAATTTAAATTATACCATTAATTAGTGCTCAATTAGTGCTATTTTTGTACCATATTGCCGAATTTAGTGCTCAATGTTTATTTAAAAAAAACAATGGTTCTGCTGAGTGAACGTTCCGCTGGCCGGACCATAACGAAAAACGCCAACAGAATATTTATAAATAGCCTATTATTTAGTGCTCAATTAGTGCTCAAAGATTAACAAAATAAAAAATTTTTTTATTAATTATTTATTTAAAAAAAAAATTTTTCGAATGAGTGAGTAATCCGCTAGCCAGACCATAACGAAAAACGCACTAAAAACACCAACAAAATATTTATCGATAGCCTATTATTTAGTGCTCAATTAGTGCTCAAAGATTAACAAAATAAAAAATTTTTTAATTAATTATTTATTTAAAAAAAAAAAAATTTTATTTTGTTAATCTTTGAGCACTAATTGAGCACTAAATAATAGGCTATTTATAAATATTCTGTTGGCGTTTTTAAAGCGTTTTTCGTTATGGTCCGGCCAGCGGAACGTTCACTCAGCAGATCCATTGTTTTTTTTAAATAAACATTGAGCACTAAATTCGGCAATATGGTACAAAAATAGCACTAATTGAGCACTAATTAATGTTATAATTTAAATTCATTTTTATGAAAGTGGTTCGGCCAGCTTCACAGACCTTTTTTTAGTACATATATCTAAAAAAGAAATGACAATCTGAGAATTTTAACTAAGACAAAATTTTGTTTTGTGTGCTCGTCAAATTTTCACAAATATTAGACATAAGTTTATTATAAAAAATTTTATATTTTGATAGATAACTTGAGAGCTTTGGCACTAGTACCAATACTCCTTCCTGCAGCGAATTTTATTCACAAACGTAAGAGTAATACCACCAGTGGATGATCAAGTACAAGTAAGAAAATGAAACTGTCTAAAGGACGGCAATCTGCATTCAGAGAAATTGAAATCGACAACTTATTTGGTTCGTTAACGTCGAAGAGTTCTCATCGTCAACTTTTCCAAATCCCGAGTTATTAAGGATTGTAAAAGTAAAAGATTAACAACTAATTATTTAGAAAATTATTTTCTATTTTTAACTTTATTGCATTAGAAAAAATCCCTATGTAATTTGAACTAATAAAATTCGTTTATTTTATAGGAGGGCACAGACATTCAAGCAACAATTTCTAGATTACGCACTGATTCAGTAGGTGCCTTACAACCCTATCTGCTTGCTTATTCTGGCATACAAGTAACGAAGTATTTTATTATTGGTGACGGAAAAATGATTGAGATTCATAGCAATGAAAGTCCGCTTGCAGGATTTGATCTTTTATTTAAGTTACACTATGTAGGGTGAAGGAACCAGTTGTCGAGTTGACACCAGTTTTCGAGTCCTGGTGACTATTTATGTCTATAAGTAGTAAATTATATTAAATACGTAAAATAAAATAATATAACAATATTCCCAATTAATATAGTTATTCATAAAAAAATGTTTTATATTGTAATGTTAAATTGTTTTTCTTAAAAAAAATAATTTTATATGCATTACTCACGAAATCAGAGGAATGACACCATTTGCTATTTTCATTCGTAATGTGACTTGTGTTATTTAACTTCTATAAAAACAGTATATTTTTTAATATTTAAAAAACTTCTTTAATACCATTAAATTCAGAAGAAAACAAAGAGTATCTAACTGTTGATAATTACTTTATATGACTATTTATTAGTTTAAATAAAATTAATACTCGGTAACTGGTACTGAATTTTTATTGCTCTCCAATTGTCGATTTGTTGACTCTAGAAATGGGTTTGGCATATTTTATTATTTGACACAATTTTTCGATTGTCAATTAAAACCGTAAGCATAAATATTATCTGTCATTTTCGTAGGTTAATATATGGTTAGGTTTATGTAAACATCATGTATTAATTAATTTAATTTTTTAAATACTTGAATTTCGATAAAAAAATTTGTATTAAAGAATTAAATTCATGGAAATTTTGTGAAATTATATTTAGAGTAATTAAATTTGTTATATGTACAGTTTTTTTTTAATTTCTATTATGTGACAAAAAAACGACAACTGGGTCAAGAAATCGAGCAATTGGTATCTAAGCCTCGACAAATGGTATTTTACAAACAATTTCTGTTATATTAATTATTTAATATATAATTTATTTTTTTCTAACGAAATTTTATCAAGTATACAAGCTTAGATACTCCTCTTACTTAAATCATATTTTTTAATTTACTTGGATGGCCTTGATTGTGATTAAAAAATGTGTAAATGTTGAACCTCACTATTTCCTCGACAAATGGTTCCATCACCCTAGCTAACGTGGAATTTGCAAAATCTTTATCGTTTTTTTATAATTTTATAGAAACCTATTTCTATAAGACAAACAACAATGTCTTGAGTTCTGTTCAATCATTGCATACATCACTAAAAAATGTTAAAATGGACTAGACTTAACACGCTTCAACTATAATGAACACAACTAGTGCAAAAATACGGAAAATGTCGATGACGACAGTTAAATAATCTGTGATTTAATTAATTTTATTTGTTTAATTATTCTTTATTCTATTTATTTACTTCATTGATGCCCATTCCAATGATATGAGTTTTGTTTATTCAATCGCCAATTTAATACATGCACGGAGAAACATTTAATACCACTAATTCTTAAAACTGGTGAGACATTTTAGTATGTTAGGTTAGATTCAAGGGAAAAACGACATAGGTTATAGAAATTGCTATTGAGACTATCAAAAACACTCATTCAGTATATATTTTACAGTTCTTCATAAGGAAACTAACGAAAATTAGTATGTTGTTTTATAGAAAGAAAATAATAATTTTTGCAAAGTTGGGAAAGCCATGAATTAAAAAGAAACACAACAAATTAATTGTCTATAGATACTCATAGAGATGATAGTGATACTTGGATCTGATAATAGATGGCATTAGTGTATGTCACTGTAACTGTAGGTAAATATATTTAACACGACGTAAGAACCTAACCTATATTATTAACGCACACACGCACACGCAAGTAAAGACACGACGATTGGTCACGGAAACCGAAAGATCGCACGATTCGTTAGAAGTACACAGCTGAATCGTCCTTATATATTAAACGAGTGGAAAAATATGTGCCTTCGAGAGAGAGCATTTTTTAAAATAACTTACTAATCAAATTATGTAAATAAGTAAAAGTCGTGAAAAAAATTATGTTATATTGAGGAACAGTTCTTGAATTTAATTTGGCATGAGGAGACATTCACGTTTATTAATAAAAGGTTTTTTTCTTTCATACACGTGTGAATTTCAACTTCGAAAACATTAGGGTTAGTTCGCGACGTCAGGTGATGGACTCGGTGATGCTCGGGCGAAATCGGTTAAGTCCGCCCGCAGTCCTTCCAAAATTGGTATGTTACGTTAGAATGTCTGTTATATATTCTATCTATATGTGGAAAAAAGGTTAGAATTACCGTATTATTTCACAAACAAAAACTAGCATTTTATTTTTTTCTAAAGAAAAATAAGACTATTTCTAATGCAGATAGTAATTTTTGTACACCGAAGGTTGCTTAATATATAACGAACTTATCATATTTTCGTATTAATGTTGAAATTATTAGCACAACGCACGAAAAATCCTCACATTCTAACGTACTTTTAGAATAAAGATAACCAAATATATTCAATATTAGAAGAAAAAGTTTCTCCGTGTGAGATTTAAGTTGGAAATTTTATTTAAAATATTAGAAATGTGTTAAGAAAAAAATTTCAATGTTGAAAATTTTATCTCTTAAATATTATAAAATTATATTGTAATTTTGTAAAATTAAAAATTAATTTTGATGATTATAAAAAAAAATTAATTAGTTTATTATCAATGTTAATATTAAACTAAAGTTTTTAAATAAAAGGATTATCAACAGAAATATTGCTTTCAATTAATTTGACAATAATAGTGAATTTCACTAATATAATCAGTTATATATCTACTGATTGAATTAATTATATATTTACTGCTATTCCATTGACAGAATCAGTTATGTATCTACTGATTGAATCAATCATACAGGTACTGATTTGATTTTATACACTTACTGATTCAATCAGTTGGTAAAATTTACTGATTGAATCTATTAACTTTCACTGATTCTCAATGACTCTCTTCTCACGATTTCAATCAGTCAAATTTCATTGAGAATCAGTGAAATTTCACTGATTCAGATTTAGAGAGTATAAAGTTGGCACTACTTTTTTGAAAAATCAAAAATTTTATAAGAGTTCTGAGCACTTTAGCAATAGTTCTAGAGTTCTCTAACGATTGTTTAAACAGTTCTGATGATTAACAATAAAAAAAACGACAATGAAAAATCATAGTGCTAACTTTGCATAGCACGAAAAAGCATAGCAAAAAAGAGTTCTGACCTAATATTCTGAAAGAGAATAAAGAGTTCCAGAGTTCTCTACCAAAAAAAACAAGAGTTCTGCATAATTTCAAAAGTTATTAACAAATTAAAAAAAGTTATGAAAATAATATTCTGCGAGTTCTATTGCTGCGAAGAGTTCTAGAAGTAATTCTAATTACATTTTTCTGTATACCAAAAATCCAATAAGTTACAGGACTTTGAAAATTTTTGATTTTTCAAAAAAGTACACCCAGAGAAAAATATTATTTAAACCAAATATATTTTTTTTGACTTAAATAAACGTATGTTTGTCTCAGAACCAACTAGAATTTTTATTTGGTTTAAATAAAATTGTTATTCGACATAAATAAAACATATATTTGAGCCTAATAAAATTTTATTTAAACCAAATAAAATTTATTTGAAACAAATAAAAAGTCTAGTTGGTTCTGAGTTAAATATACCATTATTTCTCTGAGTGTAGTGCCAACTTTACATGACTGAAAAAATCAATACACAAAGGGAATCAAATGACGCTTGATTAACGAGAAGATGAGTTTGAATTGTGGTGAGTAAATTAGCAACATCTTAATAAGTTTCAAGATATAGTCGAGGATATAGTATTAACAATAATTAGATAGTCAACGGTCTCTAATTAGTGCAGCACTGAGAATATGCGGGGTCGTCGTCGTTGCCGTCATCGCCACTTGTTTACAAAATAGCCGGCGGAGCAAAATTCTATATGTAAGTTTATAATTATAATTTCTGTCAGGACAATTACACAAAAGAGTCAACAATTTCAAACATGTATTCTCTGAATCAAAACTAGACAATTTGAAATAGCTACGCGTTCAAAACGACTCTCTCAGGAAACTCTCGTTTGATATGCGGAAAATTATTGCACCAGTTAATCAAACTAATGTTTGCATGTTAATGAAACCAACTCCAGCGTCTACAATGATGAAATATATATTCGCCTAACAATAATAATTGACGGGAATTCCTAATACATTCATTTTACAACAATAGCCAAAGTATTATTTACAATTTTGATATATATTATATTTATCTTTAAATAATTGAGACCGTTCAGGTAACTGAATCTGCAACCAAAACAATATAATTATAGATACAGTAGAAACGTATAAAATTTAGAGAGAGAAATTCTAAATGTCGGTTCCAACATGGTGTACAAATTTTTGAAAATTGGTCGGATTCGCATAAAAATTGTTACTAAGGGATTTTCGGATCGTGAATTACAAATCCATTACCAATTTTTAAAAATTTTATGTAACGGATCTAATGAATAGTTTTCCTAAAAGTATCAAATTGATACTCTATTGAATCAAAATGATTAACTAAAAAAGTAATTATTTCAACTAATTTTCAGTTTACTATCCACAGTATAGTTGAATTTTTAGAAGAAACTTTTTTTCAGTGTATCATTTAGTTATTAATAGGAACTAAATTATGAAACAATTTTACCCCAATTTTATCATTAAAATCCAAATATTTATTTCAAAAAACGTAGTTTCAGATTGCCAGACTATAGATCCCTGTTGGCTGTTATGTTACAGTTTCCGGTCACCGAAAATTACTCCCCTATTGTTATCCCTAGAATTCTCATTAGTTGGCCATTTGATTATACTTTGAAAGAGTATTTAGGTTGTGAACGAATTATGTTTGAAATTAAGTCAATATTAAAGGGATGTCTTGAGCGAAAATTGGTTGCTCGTATATAGTACGGAAATGGCTTTTACGAGTCTATGGAATGTGTTTAAAGTCTTGCTTGTGGGTGACAACAACTATGAGAGAGGCGCATGTGTCAGATGAGGGGTCAGCAACATTCCTTGTCCGCCATGTGGACCGCAATATTTGCGATGCGAAACTCGACTTCCAGGCATACACACTCACAGACACAACATTCAAAACATTCCTCCATTTTTAATAAGCCAAGTTTTAATCCTTCATTATTAAAAGAATTTACCATCATTTTATTGGTCAACCAGGAATTACAACAATTTTTGTCCTCCGACGATGATGAAAATGAAAAAAACAAATGAGCAAGAAAAAATTTAAAAGATACTAGCATACAATAGTAAAGAAAGTTTTTTCTGTTCTAACGAAAAAGAATAGGTAAAAAACGTGTAAAACAATGTTATTTTGACAGCCTAAGGGTCCTTTCCTCGTATATATTTCCGATCGAATCGATGAGATAAATTGTAAAAAACAGAGAGAGGCGTTGAGATTTATATGTATTATTTTCAAAGTGTTTCAGATCTGGAATCTTTTTGAGTTCCGAAAAGATAAGTCATGTGGAAGATTTTGAGGATGTTAACGCCTACAGCGACTGTATCAGAGTAGCTCCTCTCTCTCACTCACTCACACCATAAGCAAAGTTGTTATTTTGCACCTGCGTTAGCGTGTATATATACTCGTCT